GAGGCACTACCCTGCTTCGAAATTATCTCAATCCACCTTGGCACAGGTCAAGGCCCGCCGAGAAACACGTCGAGGGTGGCGAGGAGACAAGTTGCGTACAACCTGTTCCAAACCTTTTCCAGAGCTACCTTCAAGTGAAAGGAATGCCGCGAGCTCGCTGCTTCTTTGCACCCAAGGAAGCTCTTTACCGGAAAATCAATCGGTGTGATTCGAACGGAGAGGCCACACGTCCAAGACAGCCATATTTGAAAGAATCTGCTTACACCAGACCTCAAATTATTATGTCTTCTGGAACATTTTCTCGTTTGTATGTCTTTCCATATGAGTGATTTTTGGTAATCCTACTCATCAATCTCAAGGAAATCGACATCATCCTTGCAGTTTTCTGCAGTAATGGTGCCCGACTTAAGCACAGATGACTGCCCACGTTCTTGAAATTAGGCACAAAATTTACGGAAGTAATGCTCGCACGGTCCGAGCGGTCAAACGTTTTCCAGCTCCAAGCTTCTATGCGGTAGTTTTTAAAACACTGATTCGTGATGAACTCGAGCACTGAACATGATTGATTGCTTGGAATCATTGATGGCGCAAATTGACGATTGAGTCATAGCCGAATAATACGTCGTATATGAGAAAAGCAGGATTTCGTACTACAAGGACAAATTTCATATTCGACTAGACAAAAACAATATAGAAAATTCAGCACAGGAAAGTTTCTTAGTAATCTGCGGTCATCAGTCTGAGTTTGTTTTCATAATTTGCCTCACCCCCTGGCCATCGCTGGGGCCACTTGATTGATGGTCGGTGAAAACAGGTGGAGGAACTTTGAGCTCTATCACTATTTCCCTTAGTAAAGAGTTAATAATTTCAACTGCTTCTGATAGGAATGGCTAGTCAACGTCCAATCCACCCTACATAACTTTGACTAATTTCCTCTCCTTAAAGAGATCACTTCATTTTCGTTGGAATTTCTTCCACCTTAGCTCAACTCAGACTTTCCCTTTCTCAAAGCTTCTGCTAAGGTCTACCATTTTTCTGTGGTCATTATGCCCCTTTGAATCTCATCCGCGCTCGATTTACGTCAAAAGGTTTGAGTCTTCAACGTCAACTAGTCGGGTTTCTGGGATCCGCATCCGATTTTAATAACGAATCATAGAGGCGTTTTAATGCTCATGCTTCTATGCTTACAGTAAGTTGTGGCCAGCTACGGTACAACGCTTTCAGCGCTTTCGTTATCATAGAAGAGTCTGGTACCAATGCTCAACCATGGATAAATGGTTGCCTTGAGCCTGGCTCGATCCGGAACATTTATATATTAGCTAATCATCGATTCTACTCCGGTCACCTATTGATAGATTTGAAAATCATTTTTCATCAGTGTAGAAAGAAAGCAATAGCGGAAGTGATGAGGAAATTTCCATTTCCAGCATGAACGAAAACCCGAATTCATCGTTTATGCTTCTGCATTGAGTCATGAGAAGGACATCAAGACACAGATCAAAGAGATGAATACGAGAATCCATCAGGTGGGTGTGGTAGTGTCGCTGGATCAGCCTATCTTTCGTCTCTTCTGTGACCGTTTTGTACGAGCCCTCTCTATTTCTCCTCTTCCACGCTTCCAAGCTGCTTACCGTTTTTGCATCTCTTCTACTTCATTGTCTTCTCTTGTATGTGCTTTCTAATTGTTTCTAATTGCCGTCTTTCTTACTTCAACCAATGTTCAGGTTGGAATTGCTGGTCCAAATATGGACGTAATAGGAGCATTGAGAGTTGCTCGCCTTACTCTAGAGGCTACAGTTGGCACGATGCATGTGAACGCGAAGATTGTCGCTGATCATCTGTCATTGCACGGCCAAAGTATTGTGATTGCTACAGAGGCGCTCATAAGTACGGATAGGTTTACGGTAAGAGATTAATATTATCTCCTTCAGTAGAATATTAGCCACCACTTACTGTTGTGGAATCGAGTGCACAAAATAGCTATTTCAAAGCTGTATACATAGGCTCATCTACTTGTTGAACTTTTTCACATTAATTAAAGAGTTGTATTCTCTAACTGTAGTCTAGAAGTTGAGACAAAAGCCTTTGACGTTGATCAATCCCATTTTTAAAGGTACAGTTCGCGCTAACTTTGAAGTACCCTTTTCGAGTCGAAAGGCAAAAGTATTGTTTTAGAATAGTACACCGGTGAAGAGAAGGGAGCAACTTCGCCGATTTTGGGAAAACTAAGGCTCCTCAAATACAACGAAAATAGAGGTTGTATTATATTACCGTGACAGAAATGAAATCAAAAGGGTATTTGGACGAGATTTCAGTTGTTGCAACTGCATAAAGAGTTGACTGAATCAAGCCGAAACTGTCCAGAATTGCCTTTCACTGTCGCTGTCGGTCATGACAAATTGTTTGAAATCCCTGGATGGGTTCTCTTGTGAATGGTGCAGCCTCCACAATACCGTTGTAACTCGTCCACGAATACACACGGGACAATCTTTGAGCCTCTAAACGTAAAATTTAGGCAGTTTTCCAGTCTGACAGGCCATATACGGCATATCGAGGTGTAACAAATACATCCTAGCAAGAGATCTCATAAGATCTCATTTATCGTGAACGGTGCCTTTGAGGAGCCTTCGCACCCACTTTCCATTCAAAATCGTAGTGACGTTTAAATGCGTGTTAAACTTACATGATGATTTGAGCAGTTATGACGCTTTGCCCTCTCGATAGTCCCCCTGGTTGAGCCTGTTATCAACTAACCAACCCCGCGTGGATGGGGGTGTTCTTGACTCGAATGCGTATGTGGTGTGGGAGCGGCGCTGTTTTCCGCTACCTCTGCAAGTTGCGAAAGTGAAGTTAGATGAACCCTTAATTTCCATAGTCTTGTATAAGGCCTGATCCCCAGTACAGTGTGTTTTATTTCCTTCTACACGGCTTACAANATTGCTTAACAAAGAGGGGGGTCGGAATGCTGATTGGGGAAGTAATTAATTTGTTTGCAACAAAGAGTAAACCAGTAGCAGCGCACTAATGCACCGAACACAGACATCAACTTCTCTCCTTCTCGCGCTAATGTTAATTATGACTGAATGCAGCGGTATTCCGCCAGTGAAACTAGGTAGAAAGAAACTGCTGCATTCGAAGCGATAGTGTTGAACTAGTTGCACAGTTGACAGCCCTTAATGGCACAGTTCACCTAAGCCCTTAATGACACAGTTCACCTAAAAGTGGTTTCTGATATTTCCCCATAGTATGAATTCAAGAATCCTCATTGTACCACACATGCCATTATAAGGTAGTAAAAAGACCTGGATAGGGCACAATAAGGGGACAAGGACTGTATCGTGCGAATGCCCACCTTCCGAGGACGAGTTTCAACGGTTTTGTAGAGGCTAGAGGCTGCATTATTCATAACCCATGGCGAGAGTGAAAGGCAGTTGTGGACAACTTCGGCTTGACGTAGTCGTCTCTTTGTGCATTGGGAGCAAGTTGAATCTTGTCCAAACATCCCTTACATGCCATTCCCGTCACGGTCATCTCGTACATCCTCCACTCTTTCCCTACTTTTGAAAGCCTTGAAGGAGGCGGATTTTCTCGCTATCTTCGCCACCGATGTACTCTTCTACATCAGCACTTCCGCTTTCCCACCTAAAAAGAGCATTCCTAGGTTTTCCGGCGACAGCTTTTGTTTTTTATGTCTGGTGAGTTACTGACCACTACTCACCGGCGTCAAAATTGTTGCAAAACCACCCTCTGGCTGCCTGTCTCAAGCTATACTAAATCCAGTTTGCTAGCCCACACCTACGTTGAAGTTGTAAGGTTTAAACCACTGCTCCAACAGTTTCCTGATTATGGCGTTAGCAACGTAGTGATTACAAACTCGGTATTGCCACAATTTCTAAGAATCGAATCTGCAAAAGTCGATCGATGTCACATCTGTCCTGAGAGATTTTGGAGCCATTATCATGAGCATTAGGAGGTTATCCCACATCACGAACTTTTTACAGTTCCGAGTTAGTTTCGAACGCTTGACTACCCTGAAGGATGGACATCTGTAGCACTTGTATTGTTTTGCTGTCGTTTTCGTGACTCTTTTTTTCTGATTTTGAACACTACATTTTGGAAATATTGCTTGTTTGAAGGTTATTGGACGGAAACTGCAACTAGATGGGCGTTGCTTTCCAAACGAAAATTCGGAAAATTGGGAGATGAATGTTCGATTGAATTGCGGCCTTGTACATGTCGGTGTCGATGGCTGCATTGGTGAATCGAATGAAAAAGAAACGAGTAAAATTGCTAAGGTGAGAATTGAGTTTACTGTGAGAAATGAGTTCTACCAACTGTCGGAGCTATGTAGCAAAGGGAGCCTTAGTTTCCTTTGGGGAAGGGAATCATGTCTGAGGATGGGTTACTGGAAGGTACTGGTTAAGAGTTGGATGATTTTGATCCAACCTAGTTTTCTGACGAATTGACGACCATTGTCCAGAATAAAAAATCTAGGCAGGAGTCTTCCTTAACTCCTCATTTTTCATGCCCATTTGGTTAATAGCTGAATTTGTAGTTGATTCGATATCGAGACAAGTTTACATTTCAATTCAGCGTACACAACCCGTTCAAATCACATGCAAACATCTGACCCTAGTCGTAAATGGATCTCTGGCAAACTATGGTAAGATCACCTCTTCGGACACAATTGATCTGGCTGTCGGAGAGAGTCTGATATCGCTGTCAGATGGAACGTTGGACAGTGCAGGACGAGGTTGGTACCATTTCCTAATTCTTCGTACTTCTCCTGAGCATAGTGGTCCCTTGATTCCTCCCTCGTTCTTCTTTTTTGACTTTTTTCTGAGGGCTCTTCCTTTGACTGAGCACTTCTTACGTTGCAGGCAACCCGAATCACCAGGCAGTATTTCGTTTTCGCTTTCTGGGAGGTGTTTTTATCTTTTGGATGCTGCGTAGTTATTTTGGACTTGTTCAACTTTACCTTAAACTCAGTTTACCGCAACGAGACATCGGACGCTCCCAGCTCTAACTAATGGCATCCTCCTCCCGATAGCAAAATCGTGACTAAAATGTATTATCCTTGCCTTAGAATAATTCAGCAGATTGAATCTTTCCCACATTTCTTTGGATTCTGTGGTTGACGCTGAGTTCAAAAATGATCAGAGTAGGGATCATAAGGTCTTCTGATATTATCATTGAAACACCAGCCGGTTACAGGTTATGACGCTCTCAAACAAATTCGTGGAGTCCGAACCCAGGCTGAGTGCTTACCGAGTTCAAACAGTTTCCAGTCGGCTATTAGCTCGCAAAACGCCGATGCTGTGGCCGATCTTATCGAGAAGGGCGTCGACGTAAATGACAAGGTATGTACAGCGCCGGTTTCCGTTTTTGTTCGAATAATTCCACTGTAGAAGAGAGCCCAACTACGGTCATTTTGTTCGTCAAAAATTAGTCGGAGGTAATCTGGCTCGTCTTTTCAGGTTTCATCAAATCGTCTGACACTTCGTCAGGCTGCCATCCGGCAGTGTCGTGAGAAGCGCCAGCAATCAACACTCAATCGCGTACGTGAGCGAATCACGCTGATCAATGCCCTGCTGGCAGTTCACGACTGGCGGCGTGGAACCATCGAGGCACGGGCCATACGGGCCATTTTGGAAAAGAATTGTGACGACTGTGCTCAGTTCCACGCAAAGGAACTACATGTCAAGGTGCTCCTCGCCACATAGTTCCCTCATCGTTGTTTCCCTCAGCTCGCATGTTCAGGTTGGCGGCTCTGCCACAGTTGAGGCGGATTCGATCTGGAGCAGCGCCTATGTAGAGCTGGACGCCGGTGCATCAGTGATGATTTCCGGACAAGTGAAGTTGACATCGCTACTGCTAACTTCTGGAAAATCCGTTACGACGACGGCAGACGCTATTGTAGCCTTGGAAATGTTTGGTCGCCTTAACTGCTCGCGGTAGGTTGCTGTTGTTCAGAATAGCTTTCAGTGACGTCCGCTACTTCCAAAAACTAGACGATATGCTTTATAAAGTAACTATCCAGTCGATTAAATGAGAAAAAGAGCACGAATTACTATTATCACATTTTGTGAATTATGGAAAGTTTTCTTTCCACATACTCCACCAGAGAATAGTCCAGTATCTGCAGTATTAAAGTATGTGTTCCTCTCTCAGTTGTAGTAGATTAATTGAATTCTCCGGATTTTGTTCACATCTCTTCGTTGGAGAATACGATGTGAACACGTCTTTGAAGCTAATGATCAGAGGAATTGAAGATTGGATTAGATTTAAAAGGTTGAAATTATGGTCACAATGTGAAGAGCCCTAGTTAGCTCGCTCCCGCTGCAGGTGCGAAGCCAAGCATCTCGTGGTTCTAGGTGGATTTGGACTTAAGCTGCAAATCCGACTATTTCTCACAGTAACGCAAGATATTGAAGGATATCTCTAACAACTTCTAAGAATTACGTAGATTTGAATAGCGAGTAAAAAGATGGCAAAACGTCATCGCGTAGCTGTTTCTGTCACAGAAGCACCAAGTTTTTGCACCAACCTAATAGTATTTAGTGACTGAGATCACGAGCACAAGCTGTGTTTACTACGGTCCACTCGAACTTCTAATTCAGGTTCTTGTGCGAAGGAATCTGGACGGTGGGTGAGAACTTTGTGCTGGATGCATGTGGTGATGTTCATTTTGGAAAAAACTCATATGTCGAAACTGAAAAGGTAAGAGTTTCTACTGCCCAAAAGTGTGGGTTACGGTCTATCGGGTGGTTTGTGATTTCAGATGGAAATGGTCTCCGGATCGACGTGCACAGTTGACGGTTCATGGCAGATTGGCACATGCTGGATGTTGGTTGAAGCAAAGCTCACTATCGGTGTTACAGCAAAGCTCTTCGTAGAGGAATCGGCAACAATTGGAGCTCATGGGTAAGAGTTTCCAGCCGTTATAGGGTGCCTTGAAAATACGCAATTTTTTTNTTTTTTTGCTTCCATCATAAGTTGGTTCAACGCTAAGCATTCTTGAACTTATGTGTATTATTGAACTGGGCTCATCCTTCTTTTAATGAATATTCTTAGACAAAAAAGATAAATAAGCTACGTATTATTTTTTTTTACCAAACCGGATTACACTATAGCGGTGCAGCCTTTTCGATTCCTCACACAATGCTATTCAATGATACTCAGTTCAATCATCGTGGGAAACTCTTGTTTCCGTTTCCGCCATGGTATCGTTTACTAGAGTAGATATACGAACTCTTGAGCGGCAGTGCTTTTCACGTAATCGGCGCATGATTGTATATGGGGCCAAATAGGGGATGGCTTAGCCGTATGGCAGCACACTGCAGTCCAGGACCCGAGACTCAGCTAGGAAAGAATGCAAGGCCAAAAAAAGGAACAAAATAAATCTATTAAGGGCAAACCATAATTTGGGCAGTCATATATGTATGTAGCATGCCTACGTCATCTTTTGATTTGGTTAGAAAAATTCACTAAAATCTCACTAAAAATCAAAAAAAAAATTAAAATAAATAAAATAAATATCAACTCACTAAAATCACTAAAGTATGTAGTATACCGATATTTATGAGCACACATAGAGCAAACGCTTACCTGTAACCAAATCGGCTCCAAGGTCATGCAGGGCGCTGGTTGTAGTGCGCGATCACGCCTCAATCCCATTGCCATCCTTTCAAACTGAGGCACAATGTGTCTTCAAACTCGTTTTGGAATATAGTGTGATTACTTCAGAATAGAACCCTTTTCATGTCAATTATCAGAAAGTGCTTGGTATGCTGAGCTTAGTGGTATACTCAACTTTGGAATAAATAGCCTTAAATCGACTCGAAAGCTGTTTCGCATTTCCGCCTATCATCGAATTCCTTGTGGTGTTCCTGCTAGTGTGGAGCTTTGTGGTTGTTTGGAAGATTGTTTGCAAGCGAAATAACTCAATTATCATTGGCTCTTCATCGTTATAATTCCATGCTTCATATGGATCTTCAGATTGATGTGTCACGGATTCTGCAATGTGGTCGAAACATGTGATCTTCAACTGAAAGACTCGGCTCACTTTTTCCATTCTTCTAAGCTTGAATGTCACACGTTAAAAATGGCTTGTGAACTACATTGCACTCTGGGTGGTGTATGGATCGCAGACAATATGAATGTGAGTTAGAAAAATGATCTTTTTTCCTTCACCGGTGAAGGGAAGAGGCAGATGGGGCATAGGAGCGCTTCTGACATTACTTTTTTGAACAAACGCCCAGTGTCTCTCAACGGGAATCATCGGTATCAACGACACGTCACACTTCATTCAAATAAAATGTGGTATAAAAAATTAAAATGTTTCTTTCCGTTTCTTTTTTTTTTCTTCTCGTAAGAATTCGTAGCATCTTTCTAACACTTCGTTATAAATCTTGATTGTGGACTAATTGATCTATGAAAAAGTACTGAATGCAAAAAGGTGAATGCGTCTTTTAACATTTAATAGTATGCAAAGGACTCAAAATTGATGGAAACAAAATTTGATGGGTGACTTTTCAATATTGTTAGCTAAAAGGATGGGTATCATTAATTGTTGTGAATGATTTGAACTCGTCTAGGACGTTTTGTTGTTATTAATCTCGTAATGTTGGATATTAGCATAATCCATCGCATTTTAAGGTCCCCCAGCTTCCAGAGATTGTACGGTCCATCATAATTCGAACGCCCATTTCACATTTGCAGATATACGTCCGTCATGACCTTATAACCACTTCGACTGGCAAAGCAGCTGTCTTCACGCATACAAACCTTACCGTTGGGTCTTTCCGGAATGATTCGCTCTGGCAGGTTAGACATGCCTTTCAAAGCTTATGTTGCCCATTCATAGCAAGTGTTTACCGATTGTTTATGTTGATTTATCTGCGGTGATTGTGGAACTTCGAGTAATATGTGCAGTTTACTGATTCGCTTATTGTAATGGCTGCGTGAAAGATAGTATATGGCAAGTGATGCATCCCTTTACTTCTGTATCACTATGTACCTTTTGGATTCATGTAGATTCAAAATCCTATAAATAGAGCTTTTCAGACCTAGGGAGGTGAATTGCGGGTCTAAAGACCTGCTTGAGACAGTGCTGACTGTTGACAATACATGCTGTTTGGTAGTGATGAAACTGGGAGTTTCAAGGCTTGCTTGATTTCAGGTGGAAAAGGACTGCCACATTATCGTTGGTTGTCTCGAGCAATCCGAGGATGGTACGCTTTTCGTGAAACAGAACCTCTCTCTTCACATTCACCGTGATTCGGTCGGCTGCTTTGCCGGAAGGATTGTTTGCAGCCGGCTGGATATGAGGTAAGTAGAGGATTCCTTGAATATGCGCGGTATACGCGACCATCTAAATGCATATATGTAAAAACGAATGATCAATCATTCCAGATGTTTCCGACGGTGTCAATACGACGGCTATCTGAAAGCCAACGATGCAGAAGTCTACTTTCCTTACATGAATGAGTCACAATTAATCGCTACAGGACAAATGGATATTCTTGTCTCACCACTAACGCTGAAAGGCAACAGTTGTTTCCTGGAAGTCACACCGACGAATCCGCATCCATTCCCAGCGTTCATACTAGAAGGCCACTTAAATGTGCATGCCGTGGTCGCTCCATTTTTAGCGGTTGAACTTTCACCAGAATCGTTGGTGAGACTTCGCGGTATCGAGTCGACGACTCCCGGAGTAGAATTCAACATCCTCATGTCTGTGGGAGCTCTCAGTACGGGCCGAAGTAGTTCAATGTTGTCAGTGGCTGAAAGTCCACGAGCAGAGGGCATCATCTGCGCGTCAACGTTCTATCATGAAGGGCAGATAAGGTTCCAAGCTGATGACGTCCATATTCTAACAGGATCATTTGTTCACAAGGGACGTCTGACAAACTGTGAACACAAGCAGAATCATGTGAAACGCTGCCATATTGTTGTCGAGGAGATGTTCCTCAATGAAGGCACGTTGGCATGCAATGCCCTAGACATCATAGGTGAAGGCGTGCTAGAGAATAGGAATAGGATCTTCGCCGTCGACAGCATGGATATTCGGCTCAATAACTTCAGCAACGATGACGGTCTCATGGAATCGAAAAACTCGATCAAGCTTCTCTCAGCCACCAAGGAATGGACAAAGCTGGGTGGCTCCATCAAGGCCAAGCGTGGATTCGATCTGTGCGCACACAAGCTGGATATGGCGCTCAACGACGTACACAGGCTCATAAACGAGAAGAAACTCTCCTTCTCCGCTAGAAGCGATCTGATCATTTCAACGAACGTATGCGATGAAATGAAGGAGTTCGTTGTTGGTTGCGCTGCTCAGAACTCAGTAGCCATCAATGCAGTGATGGAGCTGGATAGACTCGAGGTACTTCTCGGAGGAGAGCATTATATTGACGCCCCAGTCACGTTCAAAATAACCACAGAAGCTGATCTCAATGTCAATACACTTGTCATTAACGGTTCTGCAAGTCACCTGGTCATCGTACTTGACGGTGTGCTTCGTTGTAATCGTGTTAAAGTTGCCGACGCTTTCAAAAATGTCACAGTCACCGGAAAGGGATCATTGGATAGCCAGCTTGTAGCAGCTGAAGGCTCAAACATCAACTTCAACGTCTATCAGATCTTACGAACGAATGAGATGTTTTGCAGGAATGTCATTGTGCAACAGAACTCTTTGCTGCGTCTGAAACCTTGCGACGACAACGATGTCACCACTGTGTCCTGTGACCGAATGCTAATCGAAGGAACTGTGTTTGTCGAACGGAAGTTGCTGCTCGTTTCAAAGAAGTCCGATATTGGAGAACTGCAGATTCGTGGCCC